TTGCATTTGGTTTTCTGTTAAGTAAATGAATTTTTCTGGTTAAAATATTCCAATCTTTTTACAGTCCAAAAACTCTGTATTCCACCCCTTATGGTTAAAATATTCCAATCTTTTCTAAAATGGATGAAAATATAGCTCAAATACTTTCAGCTGGATCATTAAGTAACGAGAGTAATTGGTTTGGCCCGGTTTGATATGCCCAACCCATTAACAATATTAATATAAATGGACTTGAGAAAATGAAAAAAAAAGTAAAAAAAAATTATAGCACAACCAAAGGGAGTGATCTGTCCTATCTTGCAAATTTGTGGGCTTGAGTTAACGTTTTAGGTTGGGTCTAGGCCCGAAACATGTATTATATAAATGTAACGATATGATACACAAAATATATTATAATACAGGTTAAAATATAAAAACCTCTCTTGAGGTTTCTGACAATCATAAAACTTCCCTTGTGGTTTCATTTTTACAAGTATTGAAAAAACTTGCAACAACCTCCTTTTCTTATTGTCATAGACAAAAACCATTGGCCTGCATTAGTTTTTCAAATGTGTCGGTTTTACCCTTATATCTATCAATTTAAATGAAAACTTAATACTTCAAAATAAATTTTCACTTTTAATTAAAAAATCCCCAATTTAAATTGAAAAACAATAGAATAATTTTACTCTATAAAAACGTTAGCTCTAATGAAGTTTAGAAGGACAAATGAAAAATTTTAAATTATATTGAAAGATGTCCTAATAAATTGGTTTGGTAATTTTGTAACTTTGAAATCTTTATTACGGGAACAAAGAGAAAAGGGACGTAATTGCAGGTTTTTGATAAATTATATAGGAGGTTTTTATATTTTACCTTATACATAATTCATGTCATAATATATAAAAATACTAGCAGAGGGGCCTTGCTTCGCAGGGATTGGATTGGACTATTTGTTATATTAAGATAATAGTTTCTTAATAAAAAACTTGCAATTATAAGTACTCAAGTCTTGAAATTCATATAAAGACTTAAAAGATATCATCATGTGCTCGTTTTTTAAATATTGCTTCATTAAAGCATCTCATATAAAATAACGCAATCATACAATGATAGTTCTGAGTTCTACTTCATAGTTGTCATTTGTTTCATATCAAGAACTCCCAATTGACCCGGACGGTATGACCATTTGGCCTGGGAATCGTCCAGGCAACCGACTCTGTTTTACCCCAAACCCGATCATTGGCCAAAAATTGTTGAATCAATCGATGACCCATTGACCCGAGCAGTCAAATCGTTAACCCATTCAACGGTTTTGGCCATTTTTTATTTTTATTTTTTAATTTTTGTTGTCAGAATGGGCCATTCGTTCGGAAAGTCGAACCGTCGACTTGGAACCCAATGGCTAGAATGGTTCTGTTTTCAGGTCATTTTTCCTAGATGTCAATAATTAGACAAAATATCTTTGTAGTCATAATCATGGGAAGGGTGGACATTGCAAGGGATTCCAAAACCTTGAAAGATAAATCCAAAGTGACCTTAAACGCAGAACAAGAAAATTGGCGGTAAATCCACCAAACTGAAAAAACGAAGGAAAAAATCAAAAAATTGATTACAAAGTTTTGCTTTGAGATGGAGTAAACATACATGCAATCAAAGAAAGAGACAAAGCAAACCCAAAACCATTTTGGGTTTTGGTGGATTTTGAAAACCCAAAACATAAAAGGGAAGAAATAAAATGGTGGTAAACCCTAAACCATTTTGGAGGATCTTGAAGAAGACCAAACATAAAAAAAAAAAAAAACAAAACAAAACAAAAAATGAAAAAAAAGGAATATACCGCACACGCTCAAATAAAGCCCACAGTAGAAGAAACATTTGAATAGTGAAAATCCAAAAGCATAAAAAACCATGGTTTTTGAACTGTCATTAACTCGGACGGATGAACATTTTGGCCCAAAAACTGTCTAGGCAACCGGTTTCGTTTTACCCCAATCCCGGTCCCTAGCCAAAAACCGTTGAATCGATCAACAACTCATTAACCCTAGTGGTCGAACCGTTGACCCATCCAATGGGTTTTGGCTGTTATTTTTTTAATTGGGAACCACCCAAGCAACCGGTTCCGTTTTATCCCAATCCCAACCCTTGGCCAAAAACCGTTGAATCGGTCAACGACCCATTGACCCGAGCAGTAGAGCCATCGACCCATTGACCCGCTCAATAGTTTTTGGCCATTTTTTATATTTTTTAATTTTTGTTTTCAGAATGGGCCATATGTTCGAACTAGACGGTTGAACCATCGACTTGAAAACCGGTGGCCATAACGGTTCCATTTTCGGGTCGTATAAGTCACACGCTCGAATGACATAACACGTATTATATTGCTTAATGGACCTCACACACTCAATTTTTTGCTAGTAATTTTTGTTGTCAAAACAGGTCATCCATTCGAACCAGACGATTGAACCACTATTTTTTTTTTTTTAATTGGGAACCATCTAGGCAACCGATTCTACTTTATCCCAATCCCGATCCCTGGCCAAAAACTGTTGAATCGGTCAATGACCCATTGACCTGAGCGGTCGAACCGTTGACCCGTTCAATGGTTTTTGACCATTTTTTTATTTTTTAATTTTTGTTGTCAAAACGGGCCGTCCATTCAAATCGGATGGTTGAACCGTCGACCCAAAAACCGGTTGCCGGAACAGTTCCATTTTTGGATTGTATGAGTCATACGCTTGAATCGTCGACCCACACACGTATGATACTGTTTAATGGACTTCATACACTCAAATTTATGCTTGTAAATTTTGTTGTCAAAACAACCGTCCATTCAAACCGGACGGTCAAACTGTCGACCCAAAAACTAGTGGCCAAAATGGTTCCGTAATTTTTTGACAAATAATCATAATTTACCTAAAAAGTTATATTTAAGGTTGATTTTAATAATCATTTTTTGATCAATTTGTTGATTTCTTAAAAATTGGCCGATTAAACACCAAAAACCCCAAAATAGTAAACTATACACAAGGTAACACATGGCGAAAGGGGAGACCACCCCTTTGCTTTTAATATATATACTAGTGGAGGGGGCCCTGCATTGCAGGGGCTCGTTTATAAACTATTAGGCTCGAGCTCGATTTGAATTAGAGACTTGAGCTCGGCTCGAGTCAAAATCTTAGAAGTTTAAGCTCGACTACCTTTGATTGTAGGTCTCTCAATCAGTCGAGGTGCCGAGCCGAGGTCTCCCTCAATTGTCAAGGCGCCAAACCAAGGTCTCCCTTAGCTACTGAAGTGTCAAGTTGAGGTTTCCCTAGCAGGCGAGGTGTCAAGCTAAGGTCTCCCTTAGTTAACAAGGTGTCGAGCTGAGGTCTCCCTTAGTTGTCAAGGTGTTGAGCTGAGATCTCCCTTAGTGATCGAGGTTCCTAGCTGAGGTCTCCCTTAGTGGTCAAGGTGTCGTCTAGCTCGAGTTTGATTCAAATTAGAGACTTGAGCTTGAGCTCAGAAGTTCGAGCTTGGCTCGGTTCGAACTCCACTACCTTTGATTGTAGGTCCCCTGGCAGTCGAGATGCCGAGCTAAGGTCTCCCTCAGTTGGAGAGAGAGTGGCATTCTTGTAATTTGAAAAAAAAAACAAGAGAAAGAGAAAGTTGGTAGGCAAGAGTTACATTCTTATAATTTCTATGAAAAAAAGGCAAAAAATACTGTTAGATTCCATTTCCCTCATCCTCAAACCTTTTTGCGTACACATTTCAGCTTAATATATATATATATATATATATATATATATATATATATATATATATAAGATAATAAGATTATATATTTAGGTTTATAAGCTTATAAGTCCAGCCTGACCTAACATTGGCATAGGGTTGGATCCGAGCATATATTTCAGGCCCAAGTTACAGACTAAGTTCGTAAATTGGACCAGGACCATTCCCCTTGTTGACATAATCACATGTATGAGATGTAACATGGGTCGGGCCCCAGCATGGCCCACTTTTATGGGCTGCCCACACTGTAGTGGGTTGTGTCAGGCCAGCCCATGGGCCTAGTAGGTTGTGCTTGCGTGGCACAAATTCCCCAAGGGAAGCCCAGCACAACCCAAGGCCCGGACCTAGTGAGTCTCAGTCTAGGTTACGAGCCAATATTAAGGGTGCAATTTTTTTCGGTTAGGGTTGGGAATTTGTCAAATTTTTAATGGATTCATTCCGAAACCCGAGCTCAAAACAGTGTAAACTATTAATTCAACCTGATTTGCAACTCTAACCAATATGGTTTTCTAATAAAAACTGAAAAAGTGGAAATTTAAAATAAATTAACAAGATAGATAACAAAATGAAAAAATACAACAAAATTGAAAATAAAAATCTATATACATATATGTATATATTTATATATTTATATATGTGGGTCATGTCGGATCCAACCCATGGGCAGCATGACCCATTTTACACCTTTAATATACATATTAATTCAAATTTAACTCCTTAAAATCTCATATGTTTAAGCTTGGGTCAGCCCAACTTGACAATGAGCCAAACCTACTCGAGTTTGAGCTTAATACTTGCCTACTCTCAACAAATTAATAAGAACAACTTGCTTATTTAAGCAATGAGGGCTGGCTTGTTGGTGTGTTAATTGGTTTGTTTCAGCATTGACATAAAATCAAATCCCACAACCAACACTTTGAAGAAAAAGGGGTCAAGGGGAAATTATTAATGGTGCATAGCACCGAATACCAAAAATGGACTTGCTTATTTAATATTTAAAATCATAAAATATACAAAAAATAACCATTTCAACTGAAAACTACCAAAACTCATTTAAACTTGCGAGTTTCATGAGCTGACTTTGGCAAAAGATCAGATCAAGGGTGAAACGGAACTAATTGCCTGCATGATTTTCGAGTCAAATGGTTCGACCGTCTGAATCAACGACGGTTCGAAAACCATGACTTTATAAAATTTTGAAAATCAGAACAAACCGCTAATTTCGGTTTTGGTTCGGTGCGATTTGGCAGTTTAATTTGGTTTAGACCATGAACACCCTACTGCTCGGTGCTACGCGCGCTCTGCATCCGAGGCCATGCGACCCTTAACCGCGCAATTTCTCTTTCCCGCCATTACCAAAAGGTCCAAAACCTAATTTCTCTGTACTTCTTCTGCATAAAAAGAGGCAACCATAAATGGTCGTTTCATTGTCTTCATCGTGAAAATTTCTATTTTGCACCGCTTGCACAAAATGGAAGAAAATCTGCAGGAACCCAACAAGTTGCCGGAACTCAAACTTGGTATGACCCCCCCCCCTCCCCCCAATCTGTGTGTCTTGTGTGTATCTTATTGGGTTTTTTTTAATCAATAAAAAATGCAACGATTCGTTTCATTGAACTGTAGATGCCAAGCAAGCTCAAGGGTTTATCTCATTTTTCAAAACCCTACCCCAGGTAAGCTTTGTCTTCTACTTCTTCTGTTTGGCTCTCATCGATTCCCCAAAGAAATGGAGAATAAAAAAGTGACTTTTCCCATACTCTAACTTGCAGGACCCAAGGGCCATTCGCTTCTTCGATCGTCGGGTAAGTTTGCAGTTCAGATTGGTTCTATCTGTTTATTTTTCCATATTTTAATATTTCTCGTTTTCATATATTCAAAATGAAATGGAAATACCTTAGTTTCATCTGTGCATATGAGTTGGTTCTGTTTTCAATTTATGATGACTTGATTAGGACTATTACACTGTTCACGGAGAGAACGCGACTTTCATTGCAAAGACATACTATCACACTACTACTGCTTTACGACAGTTGGGTAGTGGCTCTGACGGTATTTCCAGTGTCAGTGTTAGTAAAAACATGTTTGAAACCATTGCTCGGGATCTCCTGCTGGAGAGAACAGACCATACTTTGGAGCTCTATGAGGGTAGTGGGTCGAATTGGAGGTTGACAAAAAGTGGAACACCCGGGAACCTTGGTAGTTTTGAAGATGTTCTGTTTGCCAACAATGAGATGCTAGAAACTCCAGTGATTGTTGCACTTTGCCTGAATTTCCGCGAAAGTGAGTGCACTGTGGGTCTGGGATATGTTGACCTGACCAAGAGGGTACTAGGCTTGGCTGAATTCATTGATGATAGCCAATTCACCAATGTGGAGTCCGCTTTGGTTTCTCTCGGTTGCAAGGAGTGCCTGTTGCCAATGGAAAGCGGAAAATCCATGGAGAACAGAACTTTGCATGATGCATTGTCTAAATGTGGTGTTCTTTTGACGGAGAGAAAGAAAACTGAATTTAAATCAAGAGATTTGGTGCAGGATCTTAGTCGGCTTGTCAAGGGGTCTATTGAGCCTGTTCGTGATTTAGTTGCTAGTTTTGAATATGCAACTGGGGCTTTGGGGGCACTGGTATCTTATGCAGATTTACTTGCAGATGAGAGCAACTATGGAAATTATACTATTCAGCGTTACAACCTTGATAGTTTCATGAGGTTGGATTCTGCTGCTATGAGGGCATTGAATGTTCTGGAAAGCAAAACAGATGCGAATAAAAATTTTAGCTTGTTTGGTCTTATGAATAGAACCTGTACCGCTGGCATGGGGAAACGGTTACTGAATAGGTGGCTGAAACAACCTTTGCTAGATGTAGATGAAATCAATTGTAGGCTAGATTTGGTCGAGGCATTTGTGGAGGACACTGCACTTCGTCAAGATCTCAGGCAGCATTTGAAAAGAATTTTCGATATTGAGCGATTGATGCATACTCTTGAGAAGAGGAGGGCTAATTTGCAACATGTTGTAAAGCTTTATCAGGTTAGTGTCATTCCACCTCCTTCTGGCATTGTTCATGAGAGTCACCTTATGCAACAAATTACTTCACAATGTATTTTTTCCCATTATGCTTCCTTGGCAGATAGAAAGTAGAATAAACTTCTTCATTTCCTCTCTCTCTCTCTCTCTCCCTCTTCTAGTGGTAGTTGCATGGTTTAAATTCTCAGGTCTAGTGAGAAGATTGTCACTAGTTATATTTTAGTTTATTATATTCTAATCATCTAATGCTAGTCAATGTACTTCTCCTTAATTTCTTTTTTTTATTTGTCATAGTTTACTGTGATTCCCCTTTGCCTTACCTTATTATTTGCAATTTTTTGAATACAGTCAGGTATTAGGCTTCCTTATATCAAAAGTGCCTTGGAACGCTATGATGGGCAATTTTCAACATTGATCAAGGAAAGGTATTTGGATCCACTAGATTACTGGACTGATGATGAACACTTGAATAAGTTCATTGGTCTTGTTGAAGCTTCTGTGGACCTTGAGCAACTTGAAAATGGGGAATATATGATATCGTCTAGTTATGACCCAAAGCTATCTGCACTGAAGGATGAGCGTGAAACAGTGGAAAAACAGATACACAATTTGCATAAACTAACTGCTAATGATCTTGATCTTCCACTAGATAAGGCATTGAAATTGGAGAAAACCACACAATTTGGACATGTCTTTAGAATCACAAAAAAGGAGGAGCCAAAAATTAGGAAAAAGTTCAGTACCCATTTTATTGTCCTTGAAACTCGCAAGGATGGGGTCAAGTTCACCAATACAAAGCTTAAGAAACTAGGGGATCAGTACCAAAAGCTGTTTGAGGAGTACACAAGTTGTCAGAAGGAGCTGGTTTCTCGAGTAGTTCAAACAGCAGTAACTTTCTCTGAGGTATTTAAACCTAACTATCTAATCGTTATATCTAGCATTTACTTTGGAGTTTATGAAAGTTTCTGTATGCAGGTTTTTGAAACTTTAGCTGGCATTCTTTCTGAATTGGATGTCCTTCTTAGTTTTGCTGAGTTGGCCACTAGCTGTCCAACTCCTTATACAAGACCAGATATCACTCCCTCGGTAATGACTCACTAATAGTTGCTGCCCTTTGGTTTTCTGTGTAGCCTTTTCTTGCTAGTGTAATTACACTTCCTCCTGGATCAAAGTATGCTTTATATTATATGGATTGCAGGATCAGGGAGATATTATATTAGAAGGAAGTAGGCATCCTTGTGTGGAGGCTCAAGATGGAGTGAATTTTATACCTAATGACTGTGCACTTGTGAGTATACAACTATACATGAAATCCAGTGCAAATTGCATGTCTTGGCCCTTCCTCTAGAAATAATCCGGTTCTTTTGGTCTTCTTGGAAAACAGGTTAGAGGGAAGAGTTGGTTCCAAATTATCACCGGACCTAATATGGGGGGGAAATCTACATACATTCGACAGGTTTGAATAATTACCTTTTAGAGGCATTGCCATTATGCTTTTTTGTTAGTGCAATTTCCATAGGAAGTTATCATATTTAATTTTTCACCCCTTTTGGATGGGCTGTGAAGCCCTAGTAAGTTTAACTATTACCATGTGCAACATACATTTATTGGCTGCAAGCGTGTGCCCTCCTTTAACTGACTCGATTTGTGAAATTGCTGGCCTTCTTTTCAAATGTACGTATCTAATTATTTTGCTACTTTGTTTTGAATAGAATTTAGTTATTTAGCCTGTTTTAAGGGATCTGTGGCTGTTTTAATGCCCTTCCAGTTTGCAAAAAGCTCCATGGGGTATCCATGGACAGAATTGCCTCCTTTCTTTTATTCTTTTATTTCTCCAATTTCCTTGTTTTGTCATAATAAATTTGGTCAACTTATTAAAGTTAATTATCTTGATCCCAGGTTCCAGAGTACATATTGTGTTTTAAACCTCAACAATTTCCTTGAAATTTCTAAGTTTTTTTAACATGTTATTTGTATTATTCTGCCATCTAGATAATTTGCATATAATTTCTGTCTATTTTGTTACGTCTATGTCTATTTGTTGCTATTAGCAGGTTGGTGTGAACATACTGATGGCACAAGTTGGTTGTTTTGTTCCTTGTGATAAAGCAAGGATTAGTGTTCGTGATTGTATTTTTGCTCGTGTTGGTGCTGGTGATTGCCAAGTAAGCATATTGGTTAACTCCATTATAATTTATACAGGTCTAACTTTAGACAGGTGAACTTAATGAACTAGTGCAGTGCAAACAATTGGCCCATGACTGATTAAGGACCTAAAAGATTTCCTCTTTGAAAAAGATTTTTCTTTTTGTACAATTCTTGTGCTATTACCCAGTGCCTAGGGTTTAATTTCTTGCTAAAGATTATGTTTTAAGGTCCTCATTATGGGTTTACCACGTTCCTTATGTGGGTATTTATATTTTGTTTTGAAGCTCCGTGGAGTTTCTACTTTCATGCAAGAAATGCTTGAAACTGCATCAATATTGAAAGGAGCAACTGAGAAGTCCCTGATAATCATTGATGAGTTGGGCCGCGGGACATCAACTTATGATGGATTTGGTTGGTTGCCTATTTTTGTGGAATTTATTTTCTTTATTGCACTTACCACATTGGGAAGTTGTGTGTTCTATTTCTGTCGTGTAGAGTTTTGCATTTTAAGGATATGCCCATGGCAAATTCATGACTAAATATTATGTGTTTGCTAGCATCATAGAACTTATTATTTATTTCCAAGACTTCTTCAAATGAAACCACTGCCTTGTTGTTCTCCTTTCTCATTGTTTTCCATTTTTTCTTCATATTAATATTCAAATTTCCAGTTCCAAACTCCAGCTACTCAAATGATCATGAAATTTAAGGTCCTGCATGAAATCAATAGGCTCTGTTTTGTAGTGCACTTACTCATGCATGGATGGTGTGATTAACAAACTTGCATATTGAATGAGAGGATACTTGTGCTTTTTGTATGTGTATGTATTTGTAGGTAAGCTTAATAATTGTGAGGAGCAGATAGTAAAGTTAAGTAGATAATATTTTTTAAGGACGATCTTTTTTCACTGATGCTATTTTTAGGAATAGATTAGATAATATGAAAGATGAAATATGTAAATATGCAAAGAAAGAGAAGATGTAACAACACAAGGGAAGAGAAAGCAAAACTGGAAACAGCATTACAAAGTCTAACTTGCTATCTTATAATTTGCCATGCAATATTACAACCTGTTAATTCCCAAGGTTTTCAAATATGTTTTGCTAGCATTTTGGAAAAGCTAGAGCTAGGGCTGTTCACAAATAAATCCAACCCGACCAACCCGGCCCGACCCAACCTGAGTTGGCCGGTTTTTCTTCACTACCGGTTGGTTTTGGGTTGCAAAGATGAACAAACCGATAATTCAGTTCGGTTTTGGTTTTCGTATGTGAAAACCGAAACCGAACCGAACCGAACCGAACTGAGTTATGTGAAAAAATATCTGTTAAATATAGATGTTTTAGTTTTAAATAATAAATATATATCTGAAAAAATATATATTCTGAAATATATCAGATATATATTTCCAAAATATATATTCCGATATATTTGTATATATGTTTTGGTTTTAAATATATATTTCCAGAAAATATATTCTGAAATATTATATATAATATTAGCACTTTGACTTCATGTGCATTGTGCAAGCTTGGAGTTGGTTGAAACCCAGACTCAAACCGACTAGGTCGGTTTTACTTAATAGAGGGTCGGTTTCGGTTTGGTCTATAGGTAACCCGACCAGGTTGGGTCGGTTGAAAAAACATTACTAAACTGACCCAACCCGATCCATGAACAGCCCTAGCTAGAGCTTTTGGCTGGAAGGCAATGAACATTAAAATAAGTAAATGAGAAATGCTCCAGTAGAGACAATGAGTTGGAACTTGTCTCTTACTCTTTTACATGTTGGAATTGTTGATTACCTTCTGTAGATCCTACTTGAAACTTGGTTAATGAAATCTATCTCTACTAATTTTATTGTTATATCACACCAAAATGTTCTTCAGTGCCTTTTCCATGCAATTCCTATGCAATGGTTTAAAACACGGAAGTGTGGTGTGAGGCATAAGCCTCCTTAATAGGAGGGGGAGGAGGAGGAAGAAAAGGAAGGAGTTTCATTTTTCTTTTTCTTTTTCTTTCCCCTTCCCCTTCCTTCCCTTCCCTTTTCTTTTCTTTCTTTTCTCATTTTTCCTTCTCTTTCTTTCTTTTTCCTTCTCTTCCCTTCCCTTCCCTTCCCTTTCCTTTCGTTTTACTTTTTTTTTTGTCTTTGTGTATGAGGTGTGCATGAGGCACATGAGGCGTATGCCTCTAGCACATCTCATGAAAAGGTGTGTGCCTCTTGCACTTGAGGCGTACACCTCAGAGGTATCAATGCCTCTGGCATGCGCCTCAGGGTGTTTTGGGGGCACCGCACCTGGAGCTCCAGGCATACGCCTCCCATGCGGCCATGCCTTTTAAAACACTATTCCTATGCAATGTGGTCTTGTAGCAGAGTTTCTGGAAGGATTGATAAAAACAGAGTTCTTGGAAGGCGTAAATGCATTTTATACTTTATAGAAAACAATGCTCTTTACAATGTGAAAATCAGCATATTTTTCATGCGTTTCACTCACAGGTGCAGTATATACTTTACTAAAGTAATCATCACCATTGTAGGGACTTTTTAAGTTCTTCAAACCCTATTGTTATTGTAGATAGGGGTGTTGATGTGTCACTGTGTCAGTTTTAACTTAAATGGTAAACCGTCTTGATCCAATCCTATTGAATTGGGTTTGGAGCCTTAGTTGGGTGTAGGGTTGGGTTTGGGTTAAGTTAGTCTAACTCACATCAGGTTTGAGTAAGGCAAACCTGCACCAAACCTGACAAATTGACATAACTGGTTATAGTTTTACATTCCATCTTCTTGTTGGTATTGCGATATTGTTGGTTTACTTGTTGAGAGGCATGGAGATACTTTGTGGTGTTGTGTTATGTAACTTGGTTACTTTTAAGAAATATGGATGAGAACATTTTGTGTATCATGTCATGTGAGTTTTTTTTTTTTTTTCTAACCATGTTTATCACAAAGTCATGAACACACAACAGGTGACAGATATCACAGTGAAATGTTCATGAAACTTCCATAACATGTGACATAGTGACATTGAAAAATCTGTAGATATATCCTTCACTAATTAAGTACTGTTTATGGGGCTTGGGAGGTGTCAGTCTTGATCCTAAAGTGTCAGGGCAGGTTCAGTAATTCTATTTATTAGGTTGAATTGGATTCAGTTTCAGGTTGAGACAAACATGTACTGAACCGGATCTGTTGACATCCTTAGATATTTGTTGTGATATGCATTTTCCAGCTCAGGCATTGGAATTTGGAAACTCGTTTCAACTCTTGCTTTAGTTCTTTAACTTGAGATATCAAAACATTGTTGAATTTAATACAGGAAAGCAGAAGCATACTTCAAATTGCATAAAGCATCCATCATTAAGTATTCTATCCAGTACAGCCTTACGGGTTATCAAATGTCATTTCATTCTCTCTAAGAAGCTTTAAGAACTTGTTTCCATCCAAGAAGTTTGGTTTCCTGATTGCAGGTCCAACCATGAAAGATTTATTGATGCCAACTAGAACAAGGGGATATTGTCACTAAGAGTTCCTCTTTCTTGTTTACACAATAGTATCCAGAATGGGTGCAAATAATTCATGACAAATAATTCTTGAATTGCCTTAAAAAAATTCTTCTCTCCATGAGTGATATTACATAGCATACTTGGTTTTTCTTTATACTGATGTGGGGCCAACCTTGGAGAAATTGATGTAACTAAGGATGTAATTCTCCAAGTTACCCGAAAAATAGAAACAAACAAAAACCTAAGTGTTCCAGAAAGATTTCAATATGGAAAACTGAGCTTTAAAATGAAAACCCTTTTTTAAGGCAAAGAAAAATCCAAATATCAAAACTAATTCCCATCTATCAAATGCAGCTTAAACAATTGATCATGGGAGCCTTGTTACTAGCTTTATGTCTACCCATTGTGCCCCTAACTACTATGGAATTTAAGAGTCTTTTGGGTTCACTCTGATTTATTATTGCAAAAGATGAGAAATAGCTACTATAGGGCTTTCCAGCCCATTGATTGTGTAAAGATAAACCATTAGGTTAAAAATTGCAGCATATGAAGCTGATGGTTTTGGCAATGTCCTTAGGGGCTTCAGTTAGCACTAGATTTTTGAGCTCTGGTCCTTTAGGTTTGGTAGATCTATTATTCCAGGTTGCATCTGGTTCCTTTCAAATGTTATACTCAGTTAATGGTCTTTTGACTGCATGCTTTGTTCTTATTTTTGTTAATATTGTTTGCTTCCATTTATCTACTTATTTGTTAATATCTCTCAATTTACTTTTTATTCAGGTTTAGCTTGGGCTATTTGTGAGCATCTTGTAGAAGTAATCAGAGCACCAACGTTATTTGCGACACATTTTCATGAATTGACCGCTTTGGCCCATGAAAATGCCGATCACAAGTCTCCTGAGAAGACCTTACTTGGTGTGGCGAATTATCACGTCAGTGCAATTATTGATCCATCAAGTCGCAAACTAACTATGCTTTATAAGGTAGTTTTTTAGTTTTGATTTCTTTGTGCCAAACCTTTCAGGTTCAATTATATATTTTTTCCACTATTCTCCTGTCCAATAATCTGTTTTTTTGTTTATTCTTTCCATTCTGTACTAACCACTTAATCTTGCTTTTGCTACCCTTCTGTATGGCATAAGTGATGTCTTTTTCTTTACTGAAATAATAAACCTAACATTCATATTCAATTCATGCTAATATCCACATTCAGTGGGAAGTCTTTTGTGAATTTCTCTTCTAACTACAAGCACAAAGCCTGATTTATGGCTTTCTATTCTCATAAATTCCTTGAGCAATGATGCTGATTGGCTGATCCCAAAATTTCTTTAATTTTTCAATGAGAGAGACCTTATAGTAGCAATTATGCTTGTTATTAATTTTTATTTCTCATTTCAAATATTCCTTTTATTTTCTAAAAAAATAAAACCTCATGATTATTTTTCTAAAAAAAAACTGATCTGTAGGTGATGTTAGTTACGAGGAAGAGAAGAAAGAAGTAAAAATGGAGCTTTCTTACTATAAGGAATATTATCATTTAGTATCATTCTCATCTCTACATTCTCTGGAGAACTGTAGCTATGTAAACAATTATGTCATTGTGCACCTGCAGTCTTGTGACAATAAAATGACATGTGTTCCTTGTATGGCAAACTTCACCTTTTTTTCAGTCTTTAACATGGGCAAGGAAAAAATGGTCTTCATGTGAATCAACAGATTGTAAAAGTGGAGTAGGTGCCCAGAGTGCAATCAGTTGTTGATCATCAAATCTAAAGGTTGGAACTGTTTCCAATGCAATATTGTTCCAAACAGTATACAGCTATTAAAGGGGGACCCAATATGCAATTGTTCTGGTGACTAAGGTTTTTGTAGTGAACAATGCATCAATGAAGACCACATGGAAGACATTGAAACTACCAAAAAATTCGAGTGAATTACCTGCAAACAACTTTTGAAATTTATGTCTTTTGACCTATAACAACACATTTTCTAAAATATTCATCTAGTGCTCATTTTCAATATATATTATGCTAAATTTGGGTTGTCATGGACCTTTTTTGGGTAGAATGCCTGATATGTTACATGAATAACAAAAAAGACAGCCTTTCTATTTCATGTAATTTTTTACCAGTTAAGTCGGTCTATTATTTTTTCTCTCTCATTCCCTTTGAGCTAGTGGATCTGCTAATCCCTGTATTATTAACCTTACTGCCATTTATGCTCGCTCTATAATGTAATTACTATTTTCAGGTTGAGCCAGGTGCATGTGATCAAAGCTTTGGCATTCATGTTGCAGAATTTGCAAACTTTCCTGAAAGTGTTGTTACCCTTGCTAGAGAAAAGGCTGCAGAGTTGGAAGATTTTTCACCTGTTCCCATCATTTCAGATGATGCAAAGGAAGAGGTATGCTATATGATGATTGTGATTTGTGAGTACATCACAACAAGAAATTTTGACGTTTTCTTTCCTGAGAAAAGGTAACAGGTATGTAGATATTAAAAGTCGAAAGCAGTAGGGGGGGCGGGGAGGTACATGAGTGGATGTACACTGATGTTCCAAGGTCCTGATGTTTCTCCTTCAGACAGGAAATTATAGATTTTGAATCTCTTTCTGCATCAATTCTCTGAGAACCTGGTGTTAGCTCTCAGCCCTTGAATTGACACTTATAGTTCGGCTAATAGAGTTTCCAACTACAATTAGGCCTGAGAAAACCAGTAAAATATCTCCTTCATGTTCCCTAAAGACACCACCTATACTTGACTCCCAATGTTTCTAATACCGCAGCCATCAAAGTTAATGTTTGATCTAATTTGGGTTAGAAGCAGGATTTCTTGGTTTTTTTATTGTTTGTGGCTTTTTGTATTACCTTGATCTGTTTCATTTGTTTATTAGCTGATCCAGTATTATTGTGCTTTCTTACAGGTGGGATCTAAACGGAAACGAGTCTCTGGTCCTGATGAAATATCCAAAGGTGCTGCTCGGGCACACCAATTCTTGAAGGAGTTTGCCACTCTTCCATTAGAGGAGATGGACTTTAAGCAGGCCCTGCAACAAGTAAGCAAGTTAAGGAATGATTTGGAGAAGGATGCAGCAGACTGTTGCTGGCTCCAGCAGTTCTTCTAGTCCTCTTGTATGTACCATAATCTATCCCTCTTGCTTGTATATCATGTACATCAATTAGCCAAACATCTTTAGTTGCCACAGCAGAAACATCAAATATGTGTTCAGTCAGGGAAACTAGGATTTTTGTTTTGTTTGTTTTTTGGCAGTAAAGGCAAGGTAAGATTTATAACCTTGAATTTCATTCCTTGCTTTGTACAAATATTGCACAAGTGAAATATTTTTGGGCGCCATTATGTTAAAGATTCTGCGTGTAGAAAGATAGGGTTCCCAACTTCAGATTCATGTGCTCGAATTGATCCGCTGTGGCTTTGGGTCCTTAACTCCATATATCCTAATCAAAGAGTTCAAATTCCCTACACCCTGGTCGAATTGGCATTTTGAGACTGATTATATGAGCAAATTGGTTTGAATCTGATCCTGTGGAGTTATACCAACCCCTCTGCCCTCGCTTTCTTCACTTCTGTCCTCTTGGGTTACTCATAAGTGAAGCTTCTGCAAATGTTTACGAAGTTTGATTCTGGGCTTTTTACGGTTTAACAATCATTTCGAGAAGTAGACTGCCAATCATTTAGGCATGGATACCAGAAGCTTCTTCTCCCTGAATTATCAGATTCCCTTGGCTTCATGCATAATACCTACCCAAAAAAGAAGTCTCCATTAGGAAGCCCTGAAAATTTTGATCAATCCACATGGGTAACTTTCCTTGGAAGACTCCTTTAAGTGTACAAAACTGACCCATCAGTTAATTGTAGTTGTAGGAAAAAGAAAGCCACACCTGGGAAGGATATCCTGATATTAAATTTGTAGATAGCCAGCATTTTCAAACCAAGATTGCTATACTGAGAAGCAGGTGGGGAAGATGATGTCCCAAGAACTGTTCTTACTGGTTTTACATATCACACCACCTATTCCCCCATATCTTTGTTGAGAGGTATGCCTTGAAAGGACCATATTGTTAGGTATACAATATTGTCTTGGAATTGATTCCATAATTAATACAAGAGATCTCTTAAAAGTTAAATCCATAGAGGGCTCACCGCTCACCCAAAAATAAAAGGTTGAAAAATCCAAGGGCGGCCCTATAATATCCAAGCAAAGGGCCCTTTCCTCATAGTCACATCCCACGTGTATTGGGAACATTTCGCATGAATAATAATATACAAGTATGAAAGATGTTCCCCATGTGTGGCTGGAACACACTGTGAGGTTAAGGGGTGGGGACAGGAGTGCACATGAGGTCCATTGCACACGGGTTTGATCTCATTGCTGCATATTTGGAGGAGTACCAAGTGACCATCTCAGTTCGTGGGTCATCGGCCCTTTTGGATTATCAAAATGTATGAATATGTTCTTTGTATATGAAGATCCTGACTGGGCAACAAGAAATTGATCTTGATTTTTGATGTTTGGAGTGGTAGGCCTCTTAACAAGTTGGTATCCAATAATGCAAATCATCCAGACATTCATAAAAAATGCACCCTTTCAAGTAGGTTGATTGATCAACTCACCCAGATAAATTACTGAACTCAATCTATTTACTACCTCACTGGGTTGACACGAGTTAACACACCAACCCCACCCACCCAATTGCGTTGACTCACCCCACTATCGGCGTTGATATATCTCAGACTCAAGATCACATCCGATTCCAAAGTTAATTAAAACATGAAGCTACGCAACCCTCCAATGGGACCAACCAAATATAGATATTGGGTGAGTCATAGCTTGTTGATGGGGACCCATCAAGGGAATCCAAGTATTGCTGTATTGGGGTAAGGTAAGAGGAATAATTATTGTAGTGGAGCTGGGAGCTATTGCCAAGCTTTTGAGGCAGAACTTTGCTGGTTTCAAACCATCCTTTGTGCATGCACAGGAAAAATTCTTTACATGGATTGTGGTTTGCTGGAGTAAAAAGAATTTCCAGAGTTGGAGCTGAAAGTGACTCCTTAGTAGTCGTAATTCGTAAATATTGTCAGCTTGTAACGACCAAAGGCTTCTGTGAAATGGTTTGGACCTCAGATGCAGCTCTGACAATCTTATCTTATGGTTTCGAGTGCAGTACGTAATACGAGGTAACGAAGGGAAGAGTCATGCCTGACTCGGAGATACATGGCCCAAAACATTTTCCATGAAGACATCAGCAGTCTTCATGCATCCATTCGCTGCATTTATCCCAAGATAGACCAGACCCAGTGGTTAAAATTCTGCTCAAAGAATCATTAGCTATTTGAAGAATGACTTCTGAGCCCAAAATGATTCTTTTTTTAGCTTCAAAATATCAATATTTAGAGTGAATTTTGAGCCCAGAAAAAGAATTGGTTCCAATACACCTGAGTCATCCTGACCTTGTATAGTTGTATTAAATGAATTTTAATTTGCATTAATTTGTTCAAATAGGATGGTTTCTTGAAGCAAGACTGCAATTCAAGTAAGCTCATATATAACTTCAGTTATTATTTCCACCCCTTAGTGATTTGTTTTGATGCAAATGAAAAAGGAAGGCGGACACACCTTGGGATGAAAATATGAGATTGGTTTCTATCAGGGCAAAGCTGTGCCCACACTATTTTAACAGCCATTTTCATCCTTGCATTAGGAATATCTCCTTATAAAATAAAGCATACAAGCATGGAGATATTTTCAATGCAAGGCAGAAAAGGGTGTTAGAATTGGCTTTGCCCTGACCGAAACCGAACTCTGAAAATATAGTTCAAATATTTCAGCCTGAAAATTATGTTGAAACACACACACAGACACACAGAGCCTATATTGCAATAACTACAACATAGTATTAATTCGTAGATAAATTAAGCTGAATTTTTCTCATGATTCATGATTCATGATCATTCAAACCAAGGAATTGAACTGCCATGCATGGATCAGAGGAATTGATTAGGTTCCTAACATCTTGACCGGTCCTAACAAATCATCCTCCACCTCATCTAACTATTTCTGAATATATCTCTTTACAGAAAAGGCAATTTGTAAAACTACTGCTAATTGGTCCAAATGGAACTCCACATGCATCTAATTTTCCTGCATCCACTCTTCGAAAGTTGGGAATAAGAACACCAAGCGGAAGAAGAAGGATAGAAAAAGATATTTGCACTAATAGCTTATATGTCTAAAGGTGATCATGCACGTGCCCTTTTTGCCTATTGTGTACAAGCATCATATATGCCTCTTTGCTAGTGTCTAGTGAGAATTATAAATAAGATAGAAATTCAAGAAGAATGAGCCCCGCCCAATCCTTTTTGCTTTATGACTTGGAAGAAAAGTACAGATTAATTTAGTGGGTCGAAGCTTAGAAGTCTTTCTTATGCGTAAAGCTAAGATATAGAGTCACTTGTTTAATTGGATAAGCCCTTGTGAGCCACTACTCCATATAGAAAATGGTTTGGTGGCGTCTTCTCTATCCTTAATTTGTAGAGACAGATAATAACACCCACTAAAGATGATCATGAGCATCTGATTATCTATATCCATGTCATATTTGAGCTACTTTAATTTGTCCCCAATAAAAGCTCACTGATGAGGAAATAAATCAGATCCATCTGATCTAAAAAGATGTCTTTATAAAACTTAATTATTTTTTGCTAATTAAATTGAACCTCAATCATTTCGATGGTGGGTTCAGAACTTAGTGAGCCAACCCAACAACTCGGTTGATGACTTTACTCATGCTTCGAGGAGTGCTGGTCTAAGTCAAGCTTAGCATATTTTAATACAATGGTTTAGTAGTTTAAACAACCCAAAGAAAGCACACTTCGAGTTTTTAACCAAAAAGGTGGTCGGATATGAGGAACTTAAGAGAGGAAACAGGTAGATAAATATATAAGAGGAATGTGACCCATAGAAAGAGATAGTGCAGCTGGAGAATTTAGCCCTTAAGCAACGGGATGGAGCGGGCAGCCGGGCACTAGTGCTTGAGGTAGAGACGTCAGGACACGGTGGAGATGATGTCATGATAAGCCCCACAATGAGCCCTCTCTCGTGGGTGTGGGTGGTGGTGTCATCATCAAATCTTTGAATAACAATAGAGAAAACAATAGAAAAGAAAAGATGGAAACACAAAAAAGAATGGGGACCAAAGCAACCCATGCGTGTACCACAAAAGGTTCAAAACCCTTCTCTAAGCTTCCAAACCAAATCAATAGGAAAACAGGAGAGAGAGAGAGAGAGAACATTTCCTAGACAGACCCAATAAGGTAAAGAGAGACCGTACCAGTGAAAGATGAAGCAGAGACAAGAGGACTGTCTTGTGCACTGATGAGTTTTATTATGCTGTTTAGTGGTTATTTTTCGATTCTTTGCTGCTTAGAAGGAAAAAAAAAAGAAAATATGGGTTTTCTTCATGTTTTTCATTTAAATAAGAAATGGGGTTTGTGCGTAGTGGTACCCGCTTGGTCAGTTGGTAAAAGTTTGTCTGTTTTGATGCCACAAACCGATGGTCCAAAATCCTTCTTCACCCATTAATCCAACGAGTCATTCCTCGGTAGGACGGCCCAGGTTGTCCTTCAAAAGGCTAAAATGTTTTGGGTTGTAACCACTTTCATGATTTCATGAGCTACTGTGAGATTATAAAATACACTAGACTCAGAGGCCAGAGCTAGAACTGTAGCCTTGTATACCAACACCCTTCTATAGGGAGGGAATAAACATGCATCCCATCAACTCCCTCAAGGAGGTCCCTGTCTATATATGCTAGGGTTTTATGTCTTAAATTAACCAAAGAAGGAAATATTCAAGGCAAAACTCCCCTCTCCTTACTCCTTAGAAGCGTGGAATAATACATTAATTAGAGCATTACTGAGAAGAGGAAGGATATATGATGAATCTCTACACTCATTTCCAGTATGTTCAGATAGGGAAATCAAGCGGTCGACTATCTTTGCAGGATTACCTTAATGGTTAATTTTGTGACCCGTTAACTAGTGAAGCTTCTTCTTTTGGTTTTGTAACCAACAAAACATCAGAGCTTCTAATCCAATGGCCACTAACTAACCCATCTTGTCACCAAAAGAAAATGGTAGAAATATAGAATACCTCTTAGGTTTAACCTATCCCATTCCTATGTTGGTCATGACACTCTACATGCAGACCTACCTGTGCAGATAAGAAGACCAGCCAGAAGTATGAAACAAATTAAAAATAAGCTTGTAATGTGGGTACGGATAAATTGTCAATTTTTCCCTTATTTCAATGTTTAGAGAGAGAGGGAGGCCTGGAGGGAGAGAGAGGGCAGCATAAGCCATGAAAAGAAAAGTGATTGTGACACAAAACATTGAGCTTACATTCCCTCTAGCCTGTGCTCCTCCTGCCCTTCCCCACATAGAGAAAAGAGAATTAGATGAAAAAAGGGAAATGGGCTCATTAGAGTCTATTCTCTATTATGTCAGAAGGACCCATACAAAAGGAGAAATGGAATTTGTCTGTTTTTGGATTTAACAGGAGAAGAATAAGAGGAACCAAACTTAAATCAGGCCATGAGTATTGGTGGGATCTTATTAATTTTCCAAAAAGGATTAAAGGATTTAAAGAAACCCAACAAAAGGTATGAAGTTTTTGTAACTGAAATCGAGGAACTTGGAGGGAGGGAGGGGGAAGGGTGGAGAGAGAGAGGAGTGCGTTCCAAGACACAATGATTACATGGTTTTGGGAAGCAAAAAGGGTGGCGTGGAAATAGCGAGTGTGTGGAGAAACGTGGGGGCTTGACCGAGGTAAGATAAAACCTTTTATCATTATCGGGCTCGGTCTTTGGTCGGTCGACAATCGGTGTGTTGTGTATTCACTGTGTTATGTTGTTGTGTTTCCTTCTCCTCCGCTGCTGCGCCAGCACTCACAGACTGTAATTATACACTTTGAACCAATAAGAAAGCAACCCCCAATACATTAAAATATTCATATTAACGACAAACATCATATTAAATTAATGAATTTTTTACTTTATTTATCGATGAAAAAGGAAAGGCAGCGAGTGATCACTGATCAGAGAACCCAACATAACACAACACACACTCACATATGGAGAGACAGAGAGCTAGAGCTAGAGAACGCGAGAATGCCGTGAGCAGAAAGGAAAGGAGGAGACTGCAACTAATACTACTATCACTAAAGTGATGACAGTGTATAGATGACATGCTTCTATAGCCATATATATGGATGGATTGACCATTGTAAACTTGTAGAAAGGGAGAGAGCTCAGAACCCAGAACAAAGAAGCAAAAGAGAAAACAAACACACATTAGAAAAGGAAAAGCGTAGGGAAGGAGAATAAAAAAAGGGTCACACAAAGGCGTGGCAGAAGAAGCAGACCAACAAAGGAGAAGAGAAAGGATACATACAGAGTCTAAGCCTTGCCTTTATTTCTTTATTTCTATCTCTACATTCCACAAGAGAGAGAGAGAGAGAGAGAGTATAGACCACGACTCATCATCGCATCTCAAGCAAGGTCTGTCTTACTTTTTTGTCTTCCTTTCTTAGCATCCTTTTTCTCTCTTCAACCAGCCAAAGTGAACCAAGTTTCCCATCTCTTTTTGACGAAGAAGACATATATAAGTGTCAAACAAGTCTTGGGTTTAATTTGCTTTCTTCAATTTGAGAGATCAGCTTGTTTTGTTGTCTGAGTATTTGATAATTGAAGACAGCTAAATAGGAAGATAAGAGATGTGTGCAAAGAAGGAAGAAGATCAAGGTGATTGTTCTCAGACTATCCAGAGCATCCAAGGCTATCAAGAGCAATTACTTATCCATCAACAGCAGCAGCTTCATCAACAATATAGTGATGGCTTTGGCGGTGGAAGTGCAGGAAGAGGTGGTGGATTACTCTTCCCTGAACTCTCTCCAATCATACCGTGGTCTCTCCCTCCCGTTCATACCTTCAATCCGATCCAGTTCCCAACCAACCCAGGTCGAGACCACGACCCATTTCTCCTTCCTCCTCCGCCATCATACGGTGGCTTGTTCAACAGAAGAGCTTCTGCTCTACAGTTTGCTTACGATGGCCCATCATCCGATCACCTCCGGCTGATATCAGATCCACATGGTCCGGTGGTTCAACCTGGTTCTTCTCCTTTCGGGATTCAAGCTGAGTTGAGTAAGATGACAGCTCAGGAGATCATGGACGCCAAGGCCCTTGCAGCCTCTAAGAGCCACAGCGAGGCTGAGAGGAGACGAAGAGAGAGAATCAACACCCACCTTGCTAAATTGCGCAGTTTGCTTCCCAGCACCACCAAAGTAAGTAGTTAAACAACGAAAAAGCAGGAAAACCCTTAGTTTCTTCACGCCTGCAACATGTCATATTTTGATCTTTTTAATTTATTGGTTTTCTTTACCTCTTAGTTAAATATTATCTTGACCCGTTTGATTCAAAGATCTCTTTAGATTTTCTAAATAGAAACTTTCGGTTTTAGTATTGCAGAAAAGCACAGTAGTGATGTAATTTTTTCTAAACTTCTTCTTCTTCTCTTCTTCTTCTTCTTCTTCGGCTTCTTCGCTGTGTTTCTTTCAGATCTCTTTTATTGTATTGATTCTTTAGTTTTGTTCTGTTGGGTCTTCATCGAAAGTTTTTGACAGTTCCGAGGAAGAAAAAACCCAAAAGAAAAATAAATAAGCGTTAAAGTCGCTCAGTTGATACGATAAAGAGAAACCAGAGATCAGCTAAAAAGCTTCAACAGAAATTTCTTGCCGGTGAAGAGTGAAACTGAGTAGAGAAAGAGCGAAAGACATAGAAGCAACATTGTCAGTCCCAAAGAACGTGCCTTTAGTCTCTCATATATATAGAATTCTCCCTCCAGACAATACCCATTAAAAAATTCTCCCAAGAACCAGACTAAAATAATCTCCAAATCAAAACTTATATCTTCTCTCCAACATTGGAAGTTTCACAAAACAAAAACACTAATTAATTCTTCTACCCTTAGTCCCTGTTCGAACATTGATTTGTTGTGTTGTGTTTGTTTTTGGCTATAGACAGACAAGGCTTCGTTACTTGCAGAAGTAATCCAACACGTGAAGGAACTGAAACGCCAGACTTCCCAGATTGCCGAAGCGAGTCCTGTCCCCACTGAAGTTGACGAACTCACTGTCGATGCATCAGACGAAGATGGCAAGTTCATAATTAAAGCTTCTCTATGCTGTGAAGACAGGTCTGATCTCTTGCCCGAACTCATCAAGACCTTGAAAGCTCTCCGATTACGAACACTGAAAGCCGAGATTACCACGCTCGGTGGACGAGTCAAGAACGTATTGTTCATCACTGGGGAAGAAGAACCAAAGAACAACGAGCAACAACAAAACCAACAATATTCTATAAGCATGATTCAAGAAGCATTGAAGGCAGTAATGGAGAGAACAGCCGGTGATGACCCCTCTTCAGTTAAGAGACAAAGAACCAATATCAACATACTTGAACACAGGTCTCTTTAATTTCTTATCAAAATCAAAATCCTTTTTTTTTCCTTATTTTCAGCTTCTTTTCTTCTGCTTTTTTTATTTTGTATTTCCATCGCACACAAGGAGTTCGGGAGAGTGATAGAAAGAGAAACACAGGTTTCGGTTGGTGGGCCTTACTGGTTCTGCTTCTGCTAGTCTAATTTGGTACTTTGGTTTGTCTGGTCGAGAGAGAGAGAGAGATGGAGAGAGAAAGTGACATGGGCTGGGAACTTGGCATTGACAAGAAAACAGAGGGATCTTTTTCGTGGGAAGAGAAACCTTATAGAGAAGCCTAACTTAGGAAATGTGAGGATTGATTGCTTCGATCCGGTTTGTATGCAAATTTGCAGTTGGGGTTTTGTTCTGTAGTGGTTGGACTGTAGAAGTTTATGTCTGGATGACGATAAAGTTCTCGTCATGCTACGTCCACCTCCCCAAATCCCAACCCCCAAACCAACCACGCCCAACCGTACGTACAATGTTTGTCTTCTTTCATGCTGTGTGTTAGTGTCACTGAGTAAAAAAAAAAAAAAACCCTAAACCCCAAGCAAAAAGGATGCAATTAAAGTGCAAAAACCCCGTGCAATTCCAAGTTCGTGTTCATTGTGTCACGACAACTCAACTCAAACTCAACTGGGGAAGTGACTGTACATACTATTATTATTTGCTTTTCTTTCTGCTCGCCTTGTATCTTTTTTTCTGGCTGTGTGGTTCATATATCTGTACTGAGGAGTGAGAACAAATATCAATTTTCTGTTGTGTCGGAATGGTTTTCTTAATTTGTTTTCTTCAGTGTGTTGTTAGCAACTTCACAAGCTTTTTCCTTTTAAGTTGATTAATTAATTTGACCTTAACAACGCACGTAAAATGGTTGATTTGTTGCTTTCTTTTATAAACTCATATACAAAGATTAATTATTGCTGGGAAGAGATTATAGATTTTATATAGATTCTTCTGAATCAATGAATGAATGAGGGAGTAATTAAACATTAGATTTTATTAATGAGCTAACTTTCACTACGTATGTGTGCAAATTGAAGCATGTGCATATATGTATGCATGAAATGTGGTTGCATGCCATTGAAAATGACTACGTGGAGAGGAATATCATCTGCACATAAAGAGAGAACGCAGCAACATTAATGTGCCATGCATGCATGTCTCCAAAGGTTATATCCTGTACCTGCTTCTAACACCTAAAGGTGTCTTTTCTCATCTATCTTTGTTTATATAAATTAATAACCAAAGTACAATCTGAGAAGAGAAGTTTTCTTGAGATGACCAAGTTGCCACGTGGCATTTAGAATATTTATTTTAGTTTTTTCGTACTTCTATTGTGAAGGTTATAAAGAGGCCTTAAATTTACTCAAGCAAATTAATGGAGAGGTTTTTTGTGATCTCAGCTGGGACAAGAAAATGAAGGCTGAGCTCCAAAAGACAAAAGTTGTCTAGAAAAAGGGTTCTCACCTACGTGAGAAACTATATAGCTTTTTGGAAAGAAATTCCCACGACTTCAACGCCATTAGACAGTAGATCAGTTTGGGCCCGGTTTACAGTTTCGTCTTATTTAGGGGTCGCAGCTCTTTTTTACTAGGAATATAAGATCAGGAGCTAGCGATTCGCGTGTCGCCACAAAAAGGAAATCCAGTAGTTATATATGGGCCTTTTGGCTAGCTTATAGCCTAACAATAACAATTTATGCTAATTTGATAAACAAGATGCAGTATTCAAGCCCTCTGGGACTCTTCCTCAGTAATATTATTTTTGCAACTTCTGGTTCTTTGTTTACTTTGTGATGGCTTCAAGTAGTGTTAGGTTTGAGTTCATCAAAATAGTTAGGTTTGAGTTCGATTAGAGACTTAAGTTTAAATTTGGTTCGGTTCAAAAGCTTACAAGTTTGAGCTAACATCAACTCAAACTCGACTACACAGCAAGCCTCTTATATAAATGAAAATCATACATATTTTAAATTTTTTTTTTTATTTTAGATACAAAAAATTAAGAATTATAAAAATTACTTATTATTATGCATAAAAAATAAATAATATATATATATAATAAAAATTAGGGTAAATTACAAAGACCCCTCTTGTACTATGGGGTCTGTGACAAAGACCCCCCTGTACTTTGTTTTGCAACAAAGACCCCCTTTGTACTATGACCATGAGACAAAGACCCCCTTCTGTTAGCTTGTCAAAGTCCGCCATTATAATATTTTTTAATCCCCCTACTACCCTTATAATAAAAAACACTGTTCATAATACATGAACAGCAGCGGCAATGGATCTCTCTATCTCTCTCTTCCCGATCTCTCTTAAATTCATCTCCTGTGGATTTGCAGAGGTCAACCCCGATACGTATGAGCTCAATGTCTCATCCTACGACGAACCCTACTTCGCCAACTTCACCAAAATCGTTACTCTACTTCTTTGGGTCTGACGGAGATTGTTCCCTATCTTTTTCATGAAGAAAACAACGCGGGTAATGTCGCTGCTGCTCTCATGGCTCGTCTTGCCCCCAAAGCCCAGATTATCATCAGCTGTACACACCTTAACAAACCTTACGATAGGAGACAAATATTTATTTTTTACTTGTAAGAAACTCAAATGCTGTCAAACGCTAAGTAGATGAGGCTCCCATCCATGGAAAGTAGATAGAGAGGTCAGGGCATCCTTATCAGACCCAACATGGATGGATGGTGATTGCCATGCGCCAGTGCCTAGTCTAAACTGATAAACTCCTACCAAGCTGAGAATAAATCACACAGATCACCATTTATTCTGTCTAAAGGAGAAAAATCTTCGAAAAGCATGAGACCTTCAAGCTCCCAAACTCGAATACAAGCCGGCATTATCTTTCCACGCCATAGCTTTTCCAAGAAATCAGGTTTCTCCAGAAAAGAAGACCAAAAAGCAGCATTGAAGAGCAAAAAAAAAATAGCAGAGCTTAAAATTCGTAGCTCGAACAACGAAAACCACATTAAATCCCAAAAATAGCACAGCTTTACCACTTTCGCTCGCATTAAAACTAGTAAATGGGGAAAGCACACCTACAGAAAAATGAGTTCCAAGAACGAACACAGATGAAGCAGAGTAACATACTAACATCTGCATTTGTTCTTACCAGCAAGCAGATCTATACCAGAAGCTCGTCAGCTTGTCCTGAGCTACCAAAGTCTCGGTCCAAACGCACTGGAAACGTTGGTTTTTAGATGAAACCAGGGGAACCTGCGAGGGTTCCACGCAAACGTTGCGCCGCTGCTGCTCCTTATCTTCTTCTTCGTTCTTCCTTTTCCTTCTACTTCTACCTTCAGTTCCCGAGGCTCCCTGTCTCTGTGTAGGTGTAACTAGAGACCAACGAATAAGACTGAGCCGAGCCGTATACGGTGAAAAAAAAGAAGGGAGCGCGATTTTGTCATTTCCACGTACCCCTCTGATCTCTCTCAATGCGATATACTGGATTTAATAAGTGGCGATCTGTGTGATCACTGCGGGTCACCACGCAGCGGCATTACCCGCGTTGTGATCTGTGAGATCCTGCCGGTCAGGAGGCTTTCCCTGAAAAAGATAGGGGACAATCTCCGTCAGACCCGAAAAAATCCATTCATCTCGGCTTTCGGTGATTTCAACTCTGCAAGTCTCTCTCTCTAAACCAAAGACAAAGTAAAATTAAATAATTTAAAAAAGAAAAAAGATGAGAAAAGGGAAGAATTGCAATTTCTTCTATGGCCGAGAGGAATGGAAAACAGAGGAAAGCGGGAAGAAGAAAGGGGAGGAGAGAAAGGGGAAGGGAAAGGGAAAGAAGAGAGATTGGGGGAGATGGAGAGGGAGAGAGAAAGGTAAAAGAATCCGAGGAGAAGGGATTATCTCCGTGCTGTTCGTTTATTTTAGGTGGAAGATGAACAGTGTTTTTCTAAAAAATAATGGAACAGCGAATTTCAAGTGAAAGCTAACAAAAGGGGTCTTTGTCTCATGGTCATAGTACAAGGGGGTCTTTGTGGCAAAACAAAGTATAGGGGGTCTTTGTCATAAACCCTATAATACAAGGGGGTCTTTGTAATTTACCCTAAAAATTATGTATGTATGTATGTATGTATGTATGTATGTATGTATGTATGTATGTATGTATGTATGTATGTATGTATTAGGCTTAATTAAGCTTGCAAGTCTGACAAACCAAACTTCATTAGGCTTGAGCTCGGCTCAATTAACAAACGAGCCCATATGTCAGGTTTGAACTCAACTCAGAGCTTAGTTTAAGCTGAGCCAAATTGAGCTTTTCACCAGCAGAGCTCAAATAACTCATGAAAAGCTTGATTCGTTTCCACCCCTAGTTTTGTCAATATAGGAGAGATGATTAAATTATGGAGAGCATGCTGGTTCGTGGACATCAAGATAGATTGCCACTTTGGTAGTGAATATGTTGCTTAAAGCTACTAGCTGGCTATTATTAACTTATTTTCAATCTCCACTAATGTAAGAATACATGCTATGCATGCATAAAGCAAGGTTCTAAATATTGACAAGCGATGTATCGGCCTGTGTCGTGCTTTTTTTTATGTTTTACTTATTTTTCAAAATCAGTTTAGAGGGGCCGGTTTAAGGTCCGACTACCTTCTGAACTAGTGGCTGACCTGATACAACCCCTGTAGGGGTGTATCGGAAAGCCACTAGCACGATACATATCGGCTGATACAGACCGATACGTATCGATACTTTGAACCTTGACATAAAATATATTGATATATGGTATTTAAATTTAATTATTACTTACAAATTATATCCATTATATAGTATAGTTGAAGGATTAAATAGTTAACATTTTTATAAAAGGGTTGTCCGCTTCATTGGGTTCTCTCTCCTACACAGCAAGTTGTAGTGTTGTACATGGGACTTTCCACCTTTAACCTGATGAGGAGGGGTTTTGTGAGTCACCTAGCCACTTCATCAACATATACGTGAATCATATTGCATGCAGTTGCAAAGTGTTCAACTCTATCTCCAACTTTAACGGACTATATATTATTTAATGATACAAAGAACTAGTGTAATCTTGAATGAGTAAGCATTCAAATCCAAAACGTGTTATCTATTTCCTTTAATGGGATGGATTTGGCATGATGGAAGACATCAGAGTTGGGTCAAGTTTGGTTTAGAAGAAGAAATTCTTCATGTGGGGTTAGTTTGACCCCGATATATGCTGAAGTAGACAAATAAATATTTGTTTAGCAATCTAAAATGGGCTTAGTTATTAAGGTTGTGCTTGGAATCGGTGTAATTCAAGAATGATGTAAATATTTATATCGGTTCGGTTTTGTTTATGCTTGGAAAAAGTGTATAATAATGATTAATGTAAAATTCTATTCCATTTCAGTTTTGTGTATGTTTGGATGAAATGGAATTTTATGTTGTAAATCAATGTAAAACCTCATCATATGTAAAGTTTTACATCGATTATCAATGTAAATACTATATCGATAAAATCGATGTAAAACTTTATACCGATTGCATCACATTTTTAAAACATACAACGGTCACTTAATCACGATTCAGTGTAAAATCTTTTACACCAATGACGTTTTATACTAAATCCAAACGCAGCTTAAGAAAACACTACTGACATGCAAAAAAGAAAAGTTAGGAAACGTTATCACATAACAATACATAAGAAGATTTTAATTAGGTACCTACAACGTTATAATATCAAAAGTAAACTAATTAAGCATGTCAAGCAAACCAATAAGCTCAAGATTAGAGAAAAGGAATTAAACCAGATCCAAATGCATGACATCC